GGTAATTACTAAGACATCCCCACCATTACCTCGGTTTGAAAATGTGGCAATTAAAGCGCCCTACATGGCTCTCCCAGAGACAAGGGAACACGACAGCCTTGGACAACTTTTACGTTCCCGAGCCGGGAGGGAAGGGAGCGGGGCTGCCGCCCGGCCCTGCCGCCCAACGCCGGTCCCGCGGGGCACGGCCCGGGGCGGCGGGAGGGGGGAGCAGGCCGGGATCCGCCACCACGGGGCCCGCGGTTGCGCCCCCGGCAGAGCGCGGTTCCCCGCCGGGGCGGGCGCGGCGGGGGAGGCCCGGGGGTCCCGGAGCGCTCCGCATCCATCGCTGGCGGCGCCGAGCGCCTCGCTTGGGTTCCTTTGAAATCCGCTAATTTTGAGGACCGGGCGTTTGTGCGCTTCCATTAATAGAAGCTGCTTGTGAAAAATAGGGCATATGAATATGGAAACGGAGTTTTAATGCGCTGGGCCCTCCGCTGGACTTGCTCTCTGGCTGGAAACACGCAGGGACAGGCGCTGGCTCCGGGTGCCCCACGGCCCCTTCGGCGCCGGGCGCAGCCCAAGTGAGGAACGAAGTTCAGGGGTTTTTTCGCGAAACGGGGGCACTGGGCAGCGGCGTCTTCGGGACCCACCCGCCCGCCTCCCGCCCCGGGCCGGTCCCGGCGGTTCTCCGGCCCCATCAGCTGTCCCCCGCCAGGGACCACGGGGGTCATTTCGATGCTGTCCCCGAAACAGGGCAGGTCGTTCCGCCCGCGGGACGAGGGGGCAAGGCCGTCCCGTCAGGCCAGCTTTGCTGTGCCCCCCCTTTCCTCGCAAGCGGGGCTCCACGTTAAAGCGGCTACTGGAGAAGAAACCCGGTGGTGTCACCGGCGGGAGACATGGGCTTAGCAGCAGGACGGAATAGAGGGGGTGAAAAAAAACCGTGTAATTCCAACCTGAAACGGTTATTCGCCGCCCATCCCCGCCACCCCTGGGCTGGGGATATTTCTAACATGGTGAAGGGGTTCACCCTTTCCACAGGTGAGCTCAGGCTGGCTGCACCCACTCCACGCCCTGGGCTGGAGCCCAGTTGTTCGAGTGGGCTGCAATAAGGACTTAGAGGGACTTACAGAGCGCGTTCGCACAGAAGCGTCCTGTGAATTTGTAGGAAGATAAACTCTGGAAAGGGAGAAAATAACAAAAGTTAAAAACCCACCCGCACAAGAAACACTGAGAGCGGTAGGAGCGGCAGGCAGCGCCGGAGTGCTGATACGGCGTTACAGGCGGGCTGCCTTGGTCCGTGTAAACGCAACCCGGGTAACGGGAGCGGCGGGGAACCCCGCTCGGTGCTGCTCGCTGGTTCCCAGCGGCTGAGCCGGACTCACTCCCCCGCTGGGAGAGCGGATCCAGCTCCCTCAGCACCCAGCTGCCACCCCGGCGCCGGGACAAGCACCCTCGGAGCGACAAAGACAACGCTCATCCCTGTGTCCCAGAGAAGTCCCTTTTCTCACTTTCTCCTCTAACGATGGCCAGACTAATCTCCTGGGGAGGGGGAGTAATTAAACACGATCCTGCTGCTGCATCCCGCAAGAGAGCCTTCCCGCCAAGAGCGGCGGAGCAGCCTACCCGCCGGTCTGCGGCCGGGACGGCTCGCACAAGAGCCCAAGTCGCCAAAACCTGCCCTAGCGCAGCAGGAGTCCCGCGAAGGAACCTCCCGTGTCGTGCCCACCTGCGAAACGCACAGCCACGACCCAGCGGAAACAACCCAAAGGGGAACCGGTGACCGGGCGTCCTGCCGCAGCCGCGTCGGTGTCGATCCGGAGCGACACGGGCGGGAGCGGAGCAGCCCCATCCCGCTTTCCGCCCCTCGGGGCTGGAGCGAGGGCAGCACTCAGACACCCGGGACAAAGCCCTCGGGACGCAGCCCCCGCTCCGTGCTCCCAGGGCCGGGCCCCTAACATCCCGGGCCTGTCCCAGGACAGGGGAGGGTGGCGGAGAGACCCATCCGGGCCACGCTTCGGCAGCGGGGGCCCCGTCTCAGCCTCCTCCATCTTTGTCACCGCCTGCCAGCAAGGGCCGGGGAAGGAGACAGCGGGGTTCCGGGCGGCGGAAGGGCTGCCCTTGCCGTCGTCCCGAGTCCTGCCTCCCGCCGTCCCGGTCAGGGCGGCTCCCGGGGCCGCGCGGGGTCCGGCCGCTGCCGGGGCTGGGGGGGGCGGGCCGGGCCGCGCCGCCCGGAGCTGTCCGTGGTGCTGAGGGCGGGAGGGGCCGCTGCCTCCCAGCGCGTCCCCCGCAGCCGGAGGGGGGGAGTCGCCCCGCTCCTTTGCGGGCCAGGGCCCGGTGCGGGGAGAGACACAACACCCCGCGGGGCCACCGCCTCCCCTGCCTTACACACCGCTCTTCTAGAACCTCGCCCTTGGTTTTCGCGCTCAGCCCACCGACAGCCAGGTCTTTTCCGGCGGGGGACGGTGTTCCCCCCGGTTTAAGGCTGCGGAGCCCGTTGATCTGGCAACAGATGGGTTGGTTGGTTTGTTCACATCCAGGGCCGAGAGCAGGTCCTGGCCAGGGAGACGGGGAAGACTGGAGAGGGACGGGGAGTGCAGGAATTCAGCAGCTCGGCACCAAGTCTGGGGAGCGGCGGCGGCGAGAGCAGCTGGCTGGGGGAGGAAAGGGGTCAAAACCCGAACGGCGCGGCGGGAAAGGCCCGGCCGCCAACGGTGCCGAACAGCGAGCGGTGCCCGGTCCTGAGCTGTGCCCCACGCTGGGCCCGGCGGCGGGGAGGCGACCCTGAACATCCCGGGCCGTCGCCCGGCTCTTTGTCCTGCCGCAGCACACTGAAACGCCTGCCCGTGTGTGGGGTTTTTTTCTTTTAAAAAAAAAAAAACAAAAAAAACCAAAAAAAACCACCAAGCAAAGGAGCTCTTTCCTGTAAGACTGCAAGGGCCACCCGGCCGGTCAGCCTCAGGGGCAGCCTGTGCCCCGGGCCGTCTCCTTTCCGGTGCAAACAAATGAAGGGGGGGTTTACATTCCCAGCCCCGCTTCCCAAATGAGGAAAGGGGGAGTGGAAGGGAGCGATCCCCGCTCCAAACCTCCTGCCGCTCACACGCACTTTCCAGTTGGGTCTGGATATACGTTTCAGGGGAGGTCGCGGTTCCCCGTCCCCGGCAGACCCTGCCCGACACGGCAGCCCCCGGCCCAGCCGCGCTCCGCTCTCCTCGCTCGCTCTCCTGCCCGCAAGCCCCCGCCCGCCGCCGTTCCCAAAGCACCGGGAGCCCCCTGCCCCTGCCCGAGGAGGCACCCCGGGACCCCGGGCCGGCCCTGCTCGGGAGGGGCGAGTTAGAGGACACTCATCTATTTTGCATGAACTTTCCTTCCTTATTCTCACTACTTTTCAACGAGTTTGTGCGATCAAAACCGAGCAACTATTTAGCCATCCAGAAGAACAACGAGCTGGGACCAGCTTTTCCAGCCGAATCGCTGGAAATCAGCCCAGGAATCGTTGTTTAGACTCAGGAAAGGGCTCTAACCGAGCCCAAATTTCCTACCTTCTTCCCCAGCCCGGGTAAGATGCGTTTCCCGGGAAACCTCGGCGGCGAGGCGGGGCGGCCGGGCTGCCCTGGCCACTCGGGGCCCCGCTCCCGGGTCGGTTCTGCCGGGGGGTAATTTGGGGGCTGCGGCGGAGGCGCGGGGGAATAGCGCCCGCCACAACACGGGCAGAAAACGAGGTGGGCGTTCCCGACCCGCTCCCCTTTTGTTAGATCAAGGCAGAGGTCAATATGGTTTTAACGCGAATTTATTAGCAGAGAAATCAGCAAGCCGCTCGCTAATTAGCAAAGCCCAAATAAACGTGCCCGGAGGCTTCTCTTTTTCTTTTTTCGGATTTTTTTTTTTCCTTCTAGCTCAAAAGAAAGGGAACCCACGAGCAAAAATAGAGAGGGGAAAATTAAAAAAAAAAAAAAAAGAAGAAAGAAAAAAAGAAGAAGAAAGCCAAACCCTCAGAGGAGAAGATAATATTGGACTTTATGAATGTTTTATAGGTAATTGCTGTATAACTTTCTAATTTCGCAGGGGGGTGTTCACCTCCAAAGGATGGGGCCAGAGCCGTCCCCAGAGCCCGGTGGAGGGTCACAGCCCCCAGCCCCTCTCCGTCCCCTTCTGCCCCCGCGGGACTTAGCAACCTGGCGGCCCGGGCCGGCGTGGGGCCGAAAGCCACTCGGGAGGGAAGCTGTCTGCCAGGGGAAGGAGGGAGGGAGAGGGAGGGCAGCCACAAAGATCAAAGGCCGGCGGGGCTCGGGGCCTCCGTGTCCGCCGGGACCCCCCTGCCCTCCCTGCCTGTTTTCCCCTCGTTACTCACCCCGACCGCCGACTCTCGCTGCCTGTCCCACCTCGATGCGGGGACAGCTGTCGGGCCGGGGCCGCGTCCCCAAGCCCGGCACGGCCCCGTCGCGCCTCCCCCCAGGGACCGGAGCCGTGGACCGGAGCCCGCCCGCCGCGCCGCAGCCTCTGCCCGCCGCCTTCCCAGGAAACCCGCCACCGCCCTGCCCAAGTGTTTATAATTGCGGCGAGGGACACAACACCTGCGCAGGGATTTGTTTTGCCTTTAAAATACAAATCGAGAAAATAGCGCCGGTTAGGAAACAACAAGCCTAAAATTTAAAAAAAAAAAAAAGTGGCATTTGCCTTTTCTACTCCGAAATTCTTGCATTCTCGTCACGAGGGAAATTAGCTACCTTGAATTTCCACGTTTGTTAAAAAAAGATAAAGTTTATTTCTTTTCCTTTTTTTTCGTTTTTTTTTCCCTGTAATTTTTCAGTCACAAAAAAATCTATATTTTGTCATCTAAGCATTTATTTTACTGAATCCAAAAAGACATGAAAAGGGAGAGGGGAGAATCACGTTTGTTCGTTTTAAACTAACGTATAGAAGTGAATTTTTTTTTCCTTTTTCGGACGACATATAATAAATATGATATAGCACTCAGCACTCGGTCTGTACAATTCTGTTCGCATTAGGGAGCATGCCACTTTTCAATAAGAATTAAAAAAAAAAAAAAAAAAAAAGGTCATGAGAAAAATCAGTGCAAAGTTCTCCGTTCCCCCGGTCTTCTCCGCCGGGCGGGGGTCGAGGCGCTCTCATTCCCTCCGTCCTCCGCAGCCGTTAGTCTGTCCGGCGGGCTCGGGCTCGGGCTCCCTCTCCCTCTCCTCCTCCCCCTCCGTCCCTCTCTCTCTCCGAGCTCCAAGTCCTGCCTCGCAGGAGCCGAGGTCGGCGGGTCGCCCCGCGGCTCTGCCCGCCTTCCCCCGCGTGTGGTCGTTTCACTTACGGGCTCGGCTCTGGGTTCACGGTTCAAGAGTCCCTGCTCTGACTGATCGCCTCCCTCGGTGGCCGGTGGCTGCCTGCAGAAGCTCCTGCCCCTCGGCTTCCCCTCGTTTCCTCCTCTGCGGTGCTGGGGCTTGTTTGGGGACGGGGAGGGGAAGGGCTCGTTGCGGGGACCGCGGTGCCGCTTCACCGGGGGTGCGGGGTGCCGGGCATGGGGTTGGCCAGGGGATTGAGGGCCGGCTGCCCGCCGGGTCCCAGCCCGTGGATCAGCACCCGCGGCACCAGCGGCCGCTGGAGCTGGGGGTGCGGCGCGGGGGGAGTCCGGTACATGCTGCTGTACATGGCCGCGGCCGCCGCGGCCGCCGTCGTGCTGTCCATGCTGCCCAGCAGGCTGGGATGGTAGAAATAGGGCGAGGGGAACATTCTCTGCAGGGCCGAGTAGTTCCCGGCCTCGGCCAGCAGCTCCAGGCCCACCGCCGTCTGCCGCTTCCACTTCGTCCTGCCGGGGGGAACAAGAGGATGCTGCAGGGCGGGCGCCGCGACGGGGCACCCGGCTCGGTTCCGCGGGGGTCCGCGGGCGGCAACCCCCCCC